TGGAGTCTGGGTGTGTGAGGTGACTAGGTTATCATAAAAAAATTGTTATGAGATATTGAACAATTACAGTTCTGACCAAAAGATAACTGGAGACTTTTTCAATGACCTGATCTTCTGAATGCTGTATCAATGAGAGCTTCTAGTTACAATATTTGTACCAGGTTTCATCTATAAGTAGGTTTATCTATTAGTTAGTTCAATTTTTTTCCAGTCTGTGCTCCTGCTATTTATCAAAAGCCAGTCAGACAAGATGAGCCTTCTCACTAAGATAGATAAAGAATTTCATTACAATTTCCATTATCACAGAGATAGAGAAAGCTCATTCTAAACTAAAAACTCTGTCAAAATATTTAAACCAAATATAAATTTCAGGAGTTCAAATATTTAGCTTATTCGTCCTGCATGAGTCTATTTTTAAAGCTAATGCTTTGAAATCCGCTTGTGGTGTTTAAATGAGCTGTTCTGTCAGGATGCTCTTCATTTGCAGGATATTTTATTTCAGCTGCTCACCTATTTTCTCATTCACTTTGTTACCAAGTGGAAATAGATATCGAGCTATTGGAGAGGGAAAATCACCTCTACAGGAAAAAGAAAGTCAGTCTCAAATGCATCAGGTTTTATAACACTGTCTCAGTACTGGTGAAAAATACTACAATAAATAAGTTATTTTAGTGGACTTTTCAACAGCTAATCAAAGGAGTGCCATGAGCATTTTAGGTAAAATAATGCGAATAAATGCAGGAAACATGCTTTTATCACTTGAATATTACAGAAGTAACAAAAATTAAAGACAAAAAGTGAAGACAAATAGCATATTATGTCACTGAGAATACAGATTAGTTTAAGAAATAACAAAAAAAAATCAAGCTTTCTTTGTTGTGTTTTACACAACAGTGAGAAAACAATTGTTTTAAATGGTAATCTGAAATGGTAATTTGTTTTGAGACTCTAGAGACATTGAGATTCTTACTGTCCTGTCGTAGCTAACTTGTAGTGGAGGACAAGAGACTGCAGCTCATACGTTTCTGTGAACTTCAGAAGAGAGAGTCCTGTTTCTCTACATTTGAAAGTAAATATTTGACAAGTATGCAAAATATGTTTCTAGATTTTAAAACTCGTTTCACCAGCACAGCAGAACTATGGTTTTATCTGCAAAAGTAAAGCATTTGTCCACAAAAATGAAAATGCTGAGACAGTAGTGACAAATGAGACCCAGTATTTGACATCTCAAGCAGGAAAAGAACTGTATTTAATGTGAAATAGAATAGCAAAGCACATGTGTGATCTTCCTCTCTTTTGCTTGGTTTTAGGAAAAAAAATTCCTGCATATTTTTGAATAACATTTAGCTTGCAATAGATGAAGGAGATGTGGTAAGAACACTATTATCTCAAACTCACTATAGTCCTTTACAGTGGTGAATGAACCACAAAACTGAAGTTACATGACTAGTATTTTTTTGCTTCTGCAAAAGAAGAAATGTCTAGGAATGTGGTTTTACTGGGTGCCTGATGAAAACAGTAACCAGTCATAAACCTTTGAGAAGTGCTAGTTTTGGATCTCAGCACCACCCTGAATGTCTTTACAGATTCATGTTCTGTCAAATTGTGGAATTGTGTCATATTTGGACATATAATCTTGTTCTTAAATTGGAGTGATATGATTCTGGAGCTGCTGGGGAAATGAATGCACTCAGTATATCAGGTTTAGATCTTGATGTTTCCCAAGCAAGTAAAAGTAGAAGTGCCTTGGAACACAACCAAGATCAGGCATAGTGTCTCAGTGGAGAATGAGGTTCAGCCCCAGAAGTGTTATTTTTTTCATCTAGGCAGAATACCTTCCTACTTTCAGTTGCAGAAACCAGTTAATCCATGCAGATAGAAAAAAGATCTTTTAAGATTTCGTTTTTAATCAAATATATATAATGGAGTGAACTATAGGGTTTTTTTTCATGTACCATCTGAAATTCAAAGATCACCTTTACCATTTGTATGCCTGTAAATGCAAATGTAAATTATAACAGACATATTTAATTATAAGGATAGAAAAGCAAAATAATAAGGGCTTGAATATCACAAAGATGCAGAAATGAGAAACTGGGGATAAGAATCTTTTTATCCTGCTCAATAATTCATGTTCTCACTTTCTTGTATAAAAATATTTATTTTGGTGGAATGCTGGCCAAAAAACCACCCAACTCTTTTTTTATTTCCCCACATAAAATAATAACTGCTAATCAAGGTAATTAAGATTATTAACATGAAGAAGTGTAAATTCCCTTTTCCATGGCATTTTCTAAATTATACTTTTTTCAATGAGTTTCAATATATACATCTGCATGGTACTCAGATATCAAACTGAAGGTTTTTACTGTTAAAATCCTTCTTCATCGTGTTTTAATTCATAATTAATTAATATGCTCTTCTTGACAGTAAAAAATTGCTGTTTCTTTTTCCTGAAAGACGTAGGGAGTTGTCAGTTCCTTTAATCTATGTTGGAAGAAGGACAAATCATAGACCAAATAGATGTAAATGTAAACCAGTGGCTTGGTTTTGTCTTGCCTTCTGAATTATCCCTCTGGTTACAATTTGTAAGGCAGAACTTAAATTTTAGGTTTTTAGTGAGGCAAGAGCTCACTTCTTGGGTAGCATTCAGCCTGAGTGTGCATTCCCCCACTTTGCAGTACTGGCAGCACAAACTGCAGGGTTTCTCTAGTTTTGTTTGCTTGACCCTGTGCCTCAGGGGAAAGTGCAGGCTGTTGGCCCTGGCCTAATATTCCTCCTGCATACATGAGCTTGATACAAATAATTGTAACACCGCAGAGGGGCATATTGCTATTAAAAAAAAGAAAAAAATTATTGATATATGTGAAGTAACAGCACTTAAAAGTTTCCCAGGAGCCCAGAAAGACATCCAGTGACCTTTGGGAAAATGTATTAGATCTCTTTGGGAATGCCAGCCACGCTGCCCACTGGCAGTAGTGTGTTATAAAAGCAAAGATTGGCAAAGGCACAGTGTGAGCCTGAGCTCCCAAGCGTGCTTCTTCCAGCCCAGGTTTGTACCTCAGATCATCATGAAGCCATGGTATTTTCTCAGCTTTTTAACAATCCATGCACTGTTCAGTTCTAGGGAGGTTTAACCCAGGTAGGATTTCTGTGTCTTCATTTTAGTGCCTTCAAGATCTTACAGCAAGAAGTTCCACAGGTTAATTGTGTGACCATGCAGTTATAAAGAAAACCCAACAAAACAAACAAACCAAGACCTAAACAAACAAACAAGTTAAACCAAAAATCACGAACCAAACAACAAAAATTAGGCAAAATCCACAAACAAAATTGTTTTCTATCTGCATCCTTGTTTAATTTGATCTTCCATAGTTCTTGGAAAAGGCTGCTAATTACTGTTTTCCTTTTGTCTCTATTCATTTTAAAAAAAATAATATATAGGTGCTCATCTTCCTGTTAACTGTCTCTTTTCCAGACTGAAGAATTCTACTTTTAAGTCATACCAATTTCTTTTCTCTGGACTTTTCCCAGTTACTCCATAAATTTACTGAGGTGAAAACCAACTGCATATAGTATTCAAGACATCAGTGCATAGTGCATTCCATTGACAGCATAACAATGCATTCCACTTTGCCCTTTTCCTTATTGTTTCTTCAGTTCAATTCATTTTTTTTCATTGTTCCTGAGCTTTGAACCAAAGTAGTGAAAACCACTCATGAGAAAGCATAGCCTGAATTATTTTGTATGTGAAATTCAGATTTTTTTGCATATGTTTCACTATCTTTCTACAGCTGTTTCTAACTGCCATTTTATGGTATAATTGTTCAGTCTTTTTTCCTCCCTGAAATTATGCACATTTGGCTCCTTCCTTACTATCCCAGATAACCTTGTATTGTGAAACTTACCTCTTCACCTTCTCAGACAAGTTGTGGATATACTAAACAAACCAACAACTAGAACAAATCTGAGGTATTATCTGCTGAAAACTGTTAATTTCTTTTACTGCTTTTTTTCACTTTGAATTCATTCTTACAGAGCCTTCCCTATTATCTGAAGCTGTAAGAGGAACCTTCTTGAATATCTCATAAATAGACAAGTGGATTTTTCTTTTCCCAATGCTATTTCAGTCAAGAGATCTGGATGTTCTGCTTTCCTGATGAACCTCAAAGAAAACCCATGTTGAAACTAGTAGAGTAGCATTTTCCTCTGTGATTGTGCCTGATACCAAAGAAACGTGTTACAGAGGAAAACCACTGCAGATATAGTAACTCCTAAAATAATGCCCTTTATTTCTGAGATATTCACCCATGTGCAAGGCCTGGGGCAGTACAGACTGTATATGGTTTCTTGCATTGTACTCTACCAATTTCACTTAGAACTCCAGGCAGGAAGTAACAAGTGTAGCCCATTTGTCCCTAGTCATTATATATCATAAGACATGCCAGAATGCTGACCAAATGATATGTGTTCTACTTAATGTATTACATTTCATACTTAAAAGTAAAGAGATTTATTGATAAAATTATTTTGGCAGTGTCTGAAGTTGAATTCCTTCTCATTCACTTATTCATTCTGTGCATTCATTTGTGCATACTTAAGATTTGCAGCTAAAGGATGGACCTAGATTTTGCCCTCATTTTACACTGTGCTGTATCCACTGTGTAATGGAATGAATCCAGCATGTGAAAAACATAAGTAATACTATCTTTTTTAGTAATTGTATCCCTGTGATTATATGGTTCTCTCTTTAAGGATGGCTGGGGAAATGTATTCTAAACATCATTAACAAAACAAGCTCTTTTCTTTCTTGGTCAGAGTTGAAAAGGGACAACTTTTTTGTGAAATTGATTTGCAGTACTCTGAAAGCCATTATCCCTACCCCAATGGCAATTACTTTTGATTATTAAGTGTGTGTATGCTTTAATAAGAGCTGCTTTTTGAAATCAGCTCCACCTTAGACCTAATCTAGGAATGAAGCTGTAATGCCAAGTTTATGATATCTTCGTGGGTTGCTATGGAAGTGATATTAGCAATATTAGAAATCCAGCACTGTGGGCTGTGAGGCAATAGGATGTGATAGAAACCATAAGCATGGATGCAGTAGAAGAAGATTTAATTTCAACACAGATATATTCAATTCTTTGGGAAAATGTGAGAGAAAAAGAAGGCAATATATCAGAAAAAGTAAGTATTTTTAGACAGTGAAGTGTATCTTGATAAGGATGTCTAGAATGTAAGAATATAAAGTTATTAATTGTCAAAAAAGTGTTTTTAGCAAAATTAATTTAAATGTTAAAATTGCTGCACATGAATTAATATTATTTTTAAGAAAAAAGAAAGTGTTTTTATAGTTTGCTCTTTTGGTTATAGGCTTCTTTTCCTTTCATGTTTGCTTATTATTTCTAATTTTTTTTTTATTTAGAATCTGCAATAGGAAGCAGATGGTAGCAACCTAGTTCTGTCCTTTTTTAGCTGTGATTATTTCCAGTGATAGTTAAGGTTGTCTTGGGCCCTTGTATAGTAAGCCTGTTGATACCGAGTGATTGTTGAATAGCTCTCTAATATGTATTTATGTGTAATTTAAGATACAAAATGATCAGTGGAAGTTTTGTTACAATGTGCTTAGATGCATGGAAATATGAAAGACTGAAGAGTGGATCAATAAAGTCATTACTAGATGGAATATGTTATGAGAACACATTGGTGATGTACGATTAAACTGAAGAACAAAAATCATATACAATGACTGCTTCCAGCTTTTGACAGGAAACATGAGCCTTTAGGCATAAATGACTGTGAATAGCAAAATGCAGCTGCTGCCTTCATTTGAATAGCCTAAGGAAGACAGGAGAGCAATCAAAACATGCCCCAGCTATAAACAATCATTTCAGAGCTTTAGCTGACTTAAAAAGCAATAGCAAGTTAGACTCTGAAGAGTACTAGACAGGATCCTGTGATGTGGCATTGCCAAACCCTTTGGAGGAGATACAGTGAATAAAGGAATATTCATGAGAAAAGGAATGTTCCATAGAGAATTAGGCAGCTGCACATCCCACAGTCTCTGCATGAAGCATCACACATGTTCCAGTTTCTGCAGCTGCCCTTCAACCTCCCTTCAGCAGCTGAAACTCTCGTCTTTGCCTCCCTCCTTCTGATCCTAACGAGTGCTCTGCAGCAGCAGCTCAGGACACTCTGGATGTTCCTCAGCAGCTGGATACTAAAATCCACTCTCAGGTGCACTGTTTTACATTTACTGCCCCGTTATTTCTTCTTTTAGATTTTATTTTGCTAAGAACTTTAAAAATGAGAATGTACCACCTGCCCCGAGAACGCACTTGTGCCATGGGGCTGCCCACAGTAACCATCACAAATTCCTGTTGTGAGTACAGTTTATCTACAGCAGTGGCTTCAGGAGGAAACAAATTCCGGGTAAGGCAAACCAGAGGTGTCATATCCTCATAGCACAGTGCAGTTCCAAGGTTTTTAAGAGCCTTAAAATAGCACAGGTCTAGAAACAATAGAACCATATTAAGAACATGCCATCCCAGCTAAAATCACTTTTTTACTTTCCTTCTAGCTCTGAGGCAGAGTTGATCAGCAAAAGGGGGAAGGTCAGTATCCTGCTGCCTGGTATGTTTTGCAGATATATGTGTAGCTATCTTTAATCTTACTGATATCGATTCAATCTTACTGATATCAAATGCAGCATTTTGGGGAAAGTAGAACTGATGAAACAATGCAAAAAGATGAAAACAAATGTATCTGTATTATCAGAGGAGCATATTTTGTTGACCTAGGTCTAGATATTGCTCTTTTGCATAGTTCTATTTCTCTTCATTCACCATTCTTCCTTTTATTGCATTCCATAACTGCCAGAAACAAATGAAATCCAAAAGTTCTGTAGAGAAAAACAAGTTAAGCACCCCCAGCTGTTTGAAACAGCATAAACTGCTGCTTCATTAATTCCAATATGTATGTGCAAAGGCCTCCAGCACAGCCTTGCTCTAGCAACTGCTAGGATACAGAATTATTGTTTATAATAAATCACTGTAAGCCAATAGGAGCTCTGGGTACCCTGGTGCTGTGACACATGCTGCATTTGTGAGAATGGCTTTTCCAAATGTTAAAAAACTATGGAAAAACTTCATTTTTTTATTGTCTTTGCTGAACTTACTTCTGACTATTGTCAACTTAATGTTGTTCTTTATAAAAAGGGGAAGAAAAAATTGAATTGCCAGTGTAAAGAAAAAGAGCTTAGGTATCTCATAGGAGAGTAAAAATGCTGTATAGCTTTGCTTATACAGAGAAAATTTTAACCCAAAAGCCATATTAATTTGAGAAAGGTTAAACCATTCCTGTGCCACCATTCTTATGTTTGTTGTTTCCTGCAAGTGAGTATTCTATGAAGGTGAGACAAAAAATAGCCCTGTCCAGAAGAACTTAAATAAACTGAGGCTGAAGTTAACAAGAGTTGCTGTGGAGAATAAGGACTTGCCCAAGGAGAATAAAGAAAAAATTAGCTCCAAGTCTTTTTGAAAGGTCTGGTCATATACAGCCTTTTTTTTTTTTCTTTAATATAGAACATTTTATAATGGTTAAGGGAGAGCTCTGCTTAAAATTTGTCAAAAAAAATATGGCCAATAGCTGTATCATTTATTATATCATGTGTGGCAATCATAAGTAAGGATTTTTTCAGATGAATCCAGAGCCTTACATAAATGTAGGAAATACACCAATTCTGATTAGTTTGGACTCACTTGGGCTGAATTGAAGTCTGGTTTATAAACTAGGCCTCATTTTTAATTAAGTAAATACACTTGCAGTCTTTTGCACTATTTATGTATGCCAGTTTAGATATCACTAATTTGTTTTTTTATTGGAAGGCGTGAAAGTCTAAAAAGCTTGTTTTGTTTATTTTGGTTTTAAAAGAAAGCTAAAATCCACTTCTATTTGTTTACTTACTCCTCTCTGCTGTCAGGATCTAAGTTAAAGCAACTCTAGTTCCTTTAGCTAAAGTGAGAAAAATTAAGTTGGAATTTGCAATTGGCTTTGATATTGGTGTTTAGCCGCATGTTTCAACAGCACAATTAACTAGACACTCTACTTGAGTACACACCTCAGTCTTATCATCTACACAAAGGAGCCAGGTTAATAGGCTCTCCTACTTTGAGGAGAATGCAAGCAAGTGTCTAAACACTGTTTTCCAGCTGAAACCCTCTGGTGTGGTTTCAGATAATGTCAATAAGGAGAGAAGAGCCATCCAGGGCTAGTACAGGTGTCAGATTGGCTATCAATCACCTCTATGTGCAGTGAGAAGCCATGGCGTATAATGCAAGTGAACATAATGAAACATTGGAGCTTGCTAGTGTGCATGGTACACTAATAATGTGAGGCTGGGGGACAGAAAATTAATCTTGTTTGGAACTAAATAAACCTGCCCCTGGGGGGGTTATTATTAGAAAGCATTCCAAACCATGCTTATGTCTTAAAACCTTACAAAACTGTCCATATATAAAATCTGAGTTTTTGTCCAGTGAAATGACAATTTCTACATATGAGAGGAATTCACATTGTTAACATATACCTGAAGATACAAATCTTAGTAAGTGCAATTTATTAATTAAATAGGCAACATATGTGATTTGGGAAGAAACACAAGATAAGGCTGCAAAAATATGTTTTAATGAAAGAAAAATTTGAGTTAAATATCAAAACTGTTGAGTGAATTGAAATCAGTGATACAATTGCTGTTGGAATCTGATTATATCCAAAAAAGTTTATGTGCTTTCCAGTGAAAATAAAGTAGATTCCTGCTTAAATGATGCATCATTTTATAAATGGTGTACCTTGGACTGTAAATGTAAGGTGCTAAAGGAAATCTATCAAAATTAGAACTATAATGTAACAGTGCCAGGATCAGGAAGTAGCAATTATGCAGTTTATTTGACAGTTCACTGCTTTGCAGAGAGAACCAGAGCAGGTATTCACTGGTTAACCAAATGCTTGGGGGTAATTGATCTGAAAAAGAGAGCAAACTTTAAAGAACATGGAAATTATCTAAGTTGGGAGAAAAAAGACCAAGCCAGTATTAGTTCAAAATCCTTGTAATTACAAGTTAGTGTGAATCTGGAAGCTGCAGTAAAATTTGTCTCCTCTCAATTTAACATGAGCTTTGCCACAGTTTGAGATTAACCTTTAATTCAGTGGCTGTTCCACAGCTGACCATATATGACCTTGTTTTACTTCTGTGAACTCATGAAATTCCCTATCTGTAAAGCAGATGTCATTTTTCTGCTTAAAATGGATGTTCTGAGACTTAATTAAGTGTTCTTTGCTTATAAAGAGATTCTTCTATCAACAAAGCCTATAAGCAGTCAAAGCTGATAAAAATCTTTGTGACTATTACAAGAGAAAAGGCACAGGCTTAGCTAAATTTTGGATATGCTGTAAATTACAAGTCATGCCTTCCCAGAAATGTTTTGATAGCTTAAAAAAAACTTTCTTGAGGAACGTAGTGAGAATATAGGAAAATAGTTTCTGTGCTTGTGTGGGAAAGCTCTCTTTACCTTGGTAAGGTTTTTATTTGGGTCTTGTAAGCAGACTGGAGTGAGTGTATTTTTCCTGAGTATTGTTAAATACTGGCACAGGCTAGAATCTCATCATAGAATTGGTTTTGTTGTTGGTATTATTGCTATTGTTGATGTTATTATTAGTTTAGCTGTAATGATTCTCATTATACTGTTTTGATTGTATATTAATAAGTGAAAGGATACTTCATTTGCATTTTTACTTTTGTAGCTATTACCTCAATTTCTATACATATGCAATATGGGTTTCTACATTTGATTTAAACTATCTAAAAAGTGCTCAGAACATGAAATTTGTTGATTGCTTTTACAATATTTACACCAAAACATATTTTTTAGTAGAAATTAAAAGGTCAAGTTTATTTTATCACATCCTACCTTAACAAGGACTGAATTTGCATTAGCAGATAATTACATGAAAATGTAGATGTCTATTTTGCATATAATTTTAACATTAGTGAAAAGTTAATATACAACTAGAAACATTATTTTGTGACAGTGAGTCACATTCTCATGTGAATTGGATTGCGTGGCCCCAGCACTTTGAAAATACTTCAATAACCCAAAACAAAGTTCTACTTTACATTTCCAAATGTTCTGTAATGCATTTTCCCTATAAACTCAAAATGTTTTATAAAAGCTATTCTGAATCATAGGTGTAATTTAGTCTTAGCACACTGGCCAAGTAAATATGACCTCAAGGTACTGATCTACATTGAATTTTGTGCCATGAGTGCAGAGGACAGCTTCCTCATTCATTCGTCTTACTTTTTTGTACTCTCTTTTTTTCTAGCAATGCTTTTAAACTCATTCACAAAAATCTATGTGTTTTTTATTTTTCTGTATTCTGGTATTTGAGATATACATCAAATAGAACCCGGGATATTGTGGGATGTGTGTTACATCTTACATCTCGTATTGGATTGTGTCATCACTGCACATCTATAATAAACACTCTGCTTATTCACAGTTTGGGCTCTATGCACCACACAGGCTGACCACATCACCATCCCAGGCACAACCCACCCACCTCCATCAACACTCACTCTCTCTGATATAGCACTTTATGTTAACCTTGCCTGATATTGCATCATTCTGACAATGACTTTTTGTCATCATCCTGCTGGGAAGGATGTGTCCTGGGCTGAAATCCTATTTAATACACATATGTGATGTATCTGTACCAAAATGATAGGTTTCCTTTCCCACCTCTCCTTCTCTCCTACATTGCAGCAGATTTTATGAACTTCCTTTTGATAGTGGCTGTTGTCCTCTGGAATCCAAAGCCGAATATGAGGAAAATATATATAAGATTTTTTTTTGTTGTTAATTTGTTATTTGGGATTTTTTTTCCCAACCTTTTCCAGTGTCCTGTGTTTTTAGGAAAATATTTAATGCACAGGCTTGAATGGTCTAACAAAGCAGCACCAAGGTCATCATCACCATAAGGATAATATTTGTATACTAATTTAAATTACTTTGATTCAATGCTGAAGTCATACAGGATGTCATCTTGAAGACATTCTTCTCCCTTTTCTTCCTCATCCAACAACATTTGTTAGTAGGATTCTGCTATGAATTGGGAATTGTTTACCTATCAGTTCAAGCTGGATTTATATTAAAACTATCTATTTCTCAGCAGAGAGAATGATTTTCATTTGTGTTTATTTTTTTACATTTAGTTAGTGACAGTTTAATTCTTGTTACCTCGTGCTTTCTTTTCTACTACATAACATAATTCTATGGAATTCACAATTAACTGCATCAATTTAATGTAAGCCTTAACTGAGTTTTGCATCTGAGTAATGTTTTCTAGTTATAGCAGTCCTTTTAAGCAAGCTGCTAAATACTACACTGGACTCAGAATGCTCTACTAGTTAAATGTAGAGTATGATCATTTCTGTCAGTATTTCCAATTTTTCTACATAACTTTGAAACTTGCAAGTCTTTTGAAGCAGGTGGAATTATTTTATATTACTAAGAAATGTATTTTATCAGTCTGGATGAAAATATGAAGAATTTTGTTGAGCTGTGTGTTTTTGACCTTGGCCTAAGTAGGAAATTTATATTCATTGTATTTAGGAAAGCTGATAAGTTGATTGGAAGACTTAGACCTTATAATTTAGCCTATATCATGACTTTAACAGTTAGGCCATGATTCTAATGAAAAAATTCTACTTTGGAGTTTAAATCTATTTTCATCACCCAGAACATCTTATCTGTCAATATCTGATTAGAGAACCTTGCTGCTTGAGACAGCTTTTCTCTGTCTGACAGATAATCTTAGGCTCTGAGACCATCAACTGAGGATTCATCTGTAGGAGGGGGGGACTAAAAAAAAGGCTAGAAAGATCTAGGAGATAATTTTTGATTACACTTCAACCTCTGACTTTTGCCTTGAGCCCAATAGAAAGGCTGAATCTTTCTGTCTTATCGCTGCACAGACAGAATACTCCTGTATTGATTTAAAAGTTCAAATAAGTTTCAGCTTGATTTTTGCTTCATAACATCTCATCTGAATGGAAGGAAAACTGTAGTATTTTTTCCTTTCAGTCTCAATTTGTTCTCAGTTTAATTTTCAATGCAGTAAATATAAGTTGTTGGACTAACACAGGCCTTTGATACCTCTGTCCACAGTGCTACCCAGATGAAGAGAAGCTTTCTGTCTAAGCACCTTCTCTGAGGTGATTACTTCATTACAATACAGTAACTTTCTTGAAGATGAAACAGAAACTAAATTTTCCAAGTAAGATATATGTAAAATCAAAAAGAGAGAAACTGGTTGTTGTTTAAGGTCCGGAAAGGTTTTCACAACTACTTGCTACAATGACAAGTGTTTGTCTAATCTACTCCTAAATATGTCTTTTGGGGAAAATTTAATTATAGTTCTTGGTACTTGTAGGAAGAAAAATACTGCATTTAATGTTTACAAATATTCACTTTAGTTCCCAAGTCTGTATTTGTAAGTAAGTAGCACAAGCATATTTTCCTGACATAGCAATTTTGAGTGCAGAATATGAGACATTTATTTTGATATTTACCATAAATATGGGTATAGATTTCTACCTTTAGTTCTACAAGTAATTTTTAATCTAAATGCATAGTGTGCATGTATTGTTTACTCTTCCTAGAAGGATAACTGTGTGTTCTTCCTTGTACTGACAGATGTGGATACTGGATAAGATAAATTCTGAGCCCAAGAGACAAAAATTTATTAGCTGACCATACAAAAGCTATGGCACGTATTTTACAATTTTATACTCATATCTACTGTGTTGAGATTTGATAGTGCTTTCGGTTTGAAGATAGATTTAATGTCAGAAAGAGAACTGTTGGTGAAAAACAAGGTGAAACTGTGCTATGCCTGGGTGTATTTGGCCTAGACAGAGTCCAGGGTTTTGTCTCAGGTCCGAGTGAAAAGACAAATTAGCCAGGGAAATCAGTGAGTATCTGAAATTTCAAGATAGCCAAAGATCTAGTATCAAACTTATTCAAGCTGAGTACATGTGAAAACAGGAAATACAACCACTAAAATTTGCCAGAATTTTTACCGAGAACTCATCTCTGTTGACATTCAAATTAATAATTTGATCTAATATGTAGATAGCTGGAACCCAATATAGGACTGAAAAGTTGTTCCTTAGTTTAGCTGTAAGGTCAGAACAATGATAGGGACCCTTAGTAATAGATGTCCAAACAAATGTACCTCAGAGACACTCACAATTATTAGATAACTCATATCTAATTAAGCTCATCCTTGGGTTTCTGAACTAATGACCTGATTAAATTTGACTTGCAGCCTTGCCAATTATGTGTTTTCCTTTTATACATCCTTTTTTGAAGGAAATTCACAGTATGAGCACAGAGTAGTGGTTTGCTTGCATCACATAAATGCCATCATCTGCCTCAACTGGAATGTTTCCTAATCATTCTTGTGAAATGCAATACTCTGCTACTTCCAGTAATCTGAAATTTCTTTATGGAGCTATGTTTAGATTAATCTGCTTTGTCAAAAGCCTTTGAAAAGAATTAATATATTTTTTTATAGTAATAGAGAAGAATTGTTGATTTTAACCAAACTTCACGTTGAATCTGCAGATTTTTCAAGTTTTGAAGCTCAATCAGTGAAAAAAATGATCCTGCTCAGATTCTCAGTTCCAAAAACTGCCAGCTGAAGAGTAACAGGTAACTTTATTGTTAACTCAGTAAGCTGAGTCATGAAATAACATTTAATGGCAGTCTGTATTTCCCAATTCCCTGAAAATAAGGCATATTGGGTATTATGATGGTAATTTTGAGTATATCAGGAAGAGAAGGTAAAAGCAACAGGAAAAACAAAATTTAGTCTTTCTTTTGAAGAAAAGGAAAGCTGTTTATGCATATGCGCAACATTTTCTCTGAGACTGGACTGGAAATATGAGCATAATTATTATTGAGGAAAAAAATATTTAATTCACTTTCATTACTGTAGGAATGAAAATGTCATTCCAAGCAACATATTGAATCTAATTCATATTGAAACTGATGCATATTGAACTTCTGTGCATGTTGAACACAACTGTAAGCAAAATTAGCTAACAAAGTAACAAAGTTAGCTAAGTTTCTGTATTTGCATTGGTCTTTTATACTATGTTTAAATGTAAGTGAGTGAAAAGCAATTGAATAAAGACTAAAACTTGTCCAGATATTATTCTGGAGAATAGATAGAAGAAAAGTCAATTTTCCTTCTATATACTAGAAAATCCTAGAAGAAAGTGAGTTGAATAGAGTTTGGGTTTTTTTTTTCCTTCTGTCTTTTGATTAGTCCATTGATGCATTCATTATGAACTTCAAGAAGGAAACAACATATAGGTTGTTAATCATTCAGTACAACTTCACATTATACTAATGCTCAGGGCACTTCGTTATTTTCTTTTTTTTTTGTAATTTGCTTTACTTGGAGAGATTCAAAGACTTAAAGCAGGATTGGTGTCAACAGATGACGCTGTCAATTTCAATTTTGCTTTTCTTACTACCATTTGCATTGTACCAACCTATTTCTGTTCCAGAATTTCCAACACTGCCTTGTGTTGCTTTTCCACAGCAGACATCCCTGCTTTGTTTTAAAAATATTTACTTTGAGATCACCTTGCAAGATGAGAAGGTGACATGCTGTCACATTCTGTCATACATGGAGATGAAGGTCAGAGTGCCGCTCAGCTTGGGTGACAAACTGAGCCACCCATGACCTGCTCTCCAGAACATTTAGCATTCCCAACAGCTCCCTGGTACAGTGGCTCAAAGCAAAGCCCCCGCTTACTTTGTGCTGCAGCATTCACCATTCAGTATGTTTGCATTTTGGGTCCATAGGTCAGAAATCAGGTGATCACTAATTATATCACCTTAATGATGTCCATCCAAGAGAAATGTATTTCAAGTAACTTGCTCATTAATACATAGCACTTCAGTAGCTAAGGAAAGAATATTGTTTCATTCTAGAGGTTTTCATTTAGCACACTCACAATCTTAATTGTGAGTGTGGTTTTGTGATGTTGCTATTACCCCGAGTTTCTTCTAGGGAAGCTGAGATTGGAGAGGAAAGGAAAAAGGAAGAACTGAGCTTGAGATTGGCTCCTATTAGCAATGTTAACAGGCAGACTTGGATCACATATGATCCTCAGATGCTGCTAAGAAAATAGCTTATGGTCTCTGTCTGAACCATTCATAGTACAAATGTAATTTATCAGTTATAGTGAAACTGTCTTTTATAAACACGTAAACACTTTTCTAAACATGTTTTTAAAAGTAGACAATTTGGGCAAACTTCCTCAGGCATAGCCAGCTCACGATTTCTATGAGAGCAGTCCCTGATATATTTTAAATGCATACTTTAAAAGCACAGAATTTCTACAGTTTTCCAGTTAATAGTTGATGAGAATTTATCATCAATTAGAATTTATTTTATTATTTGGGAAAAACTAATTTTCTCTAAATTTTTTTTGCTAAAATCAATGTAAAATTAATTAAAGTAACCTTACATGGAAAATTTACTCTTTAATGATTCTGTTTTGTCAGAATTATAGATAATTGAAATAATTACCTTAAAATATTAACTTGTAAACATCTAAGTTGGTACAGTTACACTTCTAAAATTTAATGACAGAAATTAAAAAAGGAATTTTTTTGTATCTCTCCTCTTTCAACAAAATACACTGTTCTCTGAAACCCTGAAATGAACTGAAACTATCACTAGTTTTAAATGGGCTTTAAACACAGCTTATATTAGAGCCACAATAGAACAAAAATTTCTCATCACAACAGGCATTTTTCAGCCCCTGTATGTCATACTTCGAAAGAGCCTGGCTGACAGTGCATTAGTAATTGCTTCCTTTTGTTCCAAGGCATTCCGTCCACCAGTTGAGGTTTTTGATGCAGTTTTTATAATATTATTAAATCAATTGGCCAGTCAACTTTCTTTATATGTGTCTCAGCAGATGGGTTGTTGGAGGTCTCACCTCACAAATGCTCATCTCATATTTCTATTTGTTTAAAACTGACAATTCATGTAAGATCTTCACTGTTCCTCTTACTGAACATTTGGTATGTGCAAATATACATATTTTTGTGTGTACACACCCCAATATATGTGTGTATATATGTATATATAAGGCACACACACATATAGAGAGAGGGAACCCAGGTATTCAGGGGTTTAAATTTTATGTTCAAGAAAAAAGCTGTCACTGCATTGTATCTGCTCATGGCTAACCAGACTGGAAGCTTTTAACTTCACTATTCCTGTGTGCAGGGATATATTGACAGAAATGTGGGAGGCTTTTACATCGCTGAATAAATCTGGTTTCATTTAAAGGGAAAGAAGCATGTCAATTATGTGAGAGACTGATAGGACACATTAAGGATATGTCCATCAGGTATGCTTAGAAATTTAGCTTCCAAGGTGAAGTTGCAGCTAGGAATGCGGTATTTTGATGATTATATTAGTCAGCTTTTAAAAAATCATCATTAAAAAAAATTCTGGTGCTGTTATGCTTCTTGGAAGACTCTTTGTTAATCTCATATTATATTTTTGTATCTCGGTAATTAAATCCCTTAAGTTTCCAGAAAAGTGCAAAGGCTTTTTTTTTTTTTTTTTAATTTAGAGTTTCTTAAGTATTTGTGTATTTTATTTAATGGTGAAAAATTCCAAGGAAAGTGTATTATTCATTACTAAACTCTACCATGTGTCATTATCTACCTGTTTTGCAAAGTAGATGTTCATAGAGTCTAGTGAGACTATTGAAGCTTTAAGTCTCTGCATTCCATCCAGTGCTGTCTTTTAATATTTTCAGGAAAATGCCAAGACCTTTCCCCAGACTCAAAGGCAACTTTTCTTACTTGCCTAAAATTAAAGGTAGGAATTTTAAAAACACCTCCTTTTCTCCTTTGTATAGGAGAATAGACTTTTGAAAAACTCAGAAATTTGGACATTTCCAGAAATCCCTTTCTTTATTTATTTAAAATAAAGTTATAAACTACAATTAAGGGTTCTTAGAATTTTGCCTGGACTTAAAACCTAGAAAATATTAAATTATTCTGATCATCAAGGAGCTAAAATATGGATACAGAAATAAAATTAACATCTGTAGACCTTCACTTTTACTGTTAACTTTTTATGTTCATTTTAAATGAGAAATAATTATCTCCTTCTCTTTTTAAACTGATGAAACCATAAATGCTCTGCATTACTCTGATGCACAGGAGATTCTGATCTATTGAGCAAGTGGACCCATTCCTATTTTTAGTTTAAAAACTTGATCATCTAACTGTGAATAAGAATAAGAATAAATGATAAAGTAGATCAGTCCAGCATTTGGTCATTTCCCATTCATTGCTGTATATAGACTGCATTTCCTGGGGGTACAAGTTCAGCTTCCACATCTGTGAACAAGAGAATCTTATTTCAGAAATGTCCTGAAGAATTACTCTTAACATGTTACTTCAGAAGTGGGAACTTGTGCTAGAATAGATCACTGTGTAGATTATACTGCTATGATGTAGACAAGGATACAACTTTAGTTTTATGTCAATGTTCAGGTTCAGGAACAGCTTTCTGCTGAACCTAGAGCTGAACTTAATGCCACCTAGAGGAGTCATGCGTCTCATGAGAGAATTGGATGCTTCACAGGAAATATAAATAGAAACTGTTCGCAAAATGCAGTGTTAATTATTTCATCTTGCTGGAAAGAAAAACATTTTTCTGACGTATTGATCCAATTGAGAGCCACTAGCTGGCTGTTGGGGGCTCCCTATTTTTATATCTTAGCAGTTAACAACAAAAAGGAATATGTGAATTTTATATGTGAAAAAAAATAAAATTGGAAAATCATACAATGTAAAGTATCTGAAAAAAGGAGTCATTTAGTCAGAAACACTCCTAAATGTGCTAATGGCTTTACAAGTAAATAGCTTTGTAGTTTCATGTACAAAAGATTTTTTTCTGGTTATTTTAATGAACTCTTCTTTAATATGTCTTAAAGCTCACTCTCAGTTTGACCAAGTTTTCTTTGCTGTATCTAGTTGGCACATGAAAATAAATAATGTTGAGAGGGTTTTTTAATATGTCTGGTTTTAATTCCCATCTCTAAAAATCTTCTTTTAAGTTTGGATAGTTGACATTTAGAATGGCATTTTTCTTTCACTCTGTATTAAGTCTAATACCAGGTAATACATTCTAAACAAAGTCAATGAATCACAGAAAGAGTTGCATGGTAGGACTGCTCAAAAAGTATTTGTATTTTGTTCTGAGAGGTGTAGATAAATATTCTATAAGTTTGGAGAAAGGCATCTTTATTGAGTACTATTTTTGTGCTAGTGAGATGGAGGTCATTCCATAAAATTTCCTTGTTGTATTCTTCAGTCCTTAGTTGCTGTTACAGAAAATGTGAAGTTTCTGTTCTCTAAAGTGCTTTAAAGACAGTGTGAGCAGAACCTTTTGCAATATGTGCCAGTGCGAGTTCAAGGAATCAGTGGTAACATGTTTGCATTTGAAAGTAGCACAGCTGCCATTCTGGTGTTGTGGTTGAAAGATGACAAAAGGTGTACGGTAGGAATAGATCAATGGCTAATATTTTTTTATTCATGAGCTTCACTGTTTTCTTTGCTCTGGCTAATCTGCTCTGTGCCATTCTTGGCTCTTTTTCTTTTTT